CCCCCCCCCCCTTCCACCACTGTAGATGATAATTTCAAAGCGAACTCTTTAACTTTGCACACCCAACAAGAACCCCTGGGAACAAAACTGACAGCTAAGCATTGGATACGCTCAAAGTTCTTAAGGCGAAAAAGCGAAACCCTACACCATCCCTAGGCAAGTGAATTTTAATCCAAATCGATCACCCTCTTACCTAAACCTGCCGTCCATTTTTTTAAGATTAAACTTCTGATGCTTCTGCTCGAAAACGCACTAAACTGAACAGTTCAAAGTTCCTGAGCAATAATTATGAATAGCATCAAAATTTTTCGATCATTAAAGTAAACTGGGTCTCGAATAAGAGACACACAGAGTATATGGATACGTCTGAACAATCTGCAGAAGTAAAATGATACAAAATGTCAATGCGAAGGTAGAGTGGGATCAATTGAAGCCCAACAGCAAAAATATTATTTGGAAAACTAAACAGTAATAGAACTAGCGACAATAGTAATGAAACTACAGAGGGAAAGACCATTGCAATTTTTGCAATGAACACTCGTCATTCAAAGCAGCGCCAAATAAAAAAAAGGAAGTCGGACCAAAAACATTCAGAAAAATCACAATTGGATTTGAAAAATATTCTTCACAAAGTTCACATAAAGGCTAATGCAAGTGAAAAACATGACATGAAAATGAAACAGATCACACGGTCAAAACTTATCCGGAAAACTGTCTCAACGCTGTACGTAATATATTTGACCAAAATAAATTAGGACAAAGAACATGTTCACAAATACCTCAAATATAACTTTAAAAAAAAGAAACAACTTAGAGAACTGGAAAATTAGAATAAGAAGCCCTATCCTTGCAAAAGTGACCACAATAAATCTCTCGAAGATCAAAGCTCAAAGAATATGCATTTAGATTCCCTACAATAACAGTGAGGTAAAGAAAAATTGAAACCCATCAGTAGTATCATGAATAAAACAGGTTTTCTTCTGCCAAATTTGTTTAAATGCTCAAATGATCCAAAACAAATTAGTAATATCTCAAGGTTCTGCACTAAAGCGATGCCGCAAAATCAAAACTGAACTCCCGAGTGTTCTAAGGACAAATGAGCTTGAGATTCGTAGATAAACTGTAATAAGAGAACATTGCAAGGTAAAACACCAAGTAACGTGTAACATTTTCGGCAAAAAAATCTGGATGAAGCTTAGGACAAATAAGATAACTCAGCATTATCATCGTGTTGCCTTTCTAATTGCTCTCTTGCAAATTGCACGTATTGTTCATGTTGCTCTAAAAGTAACTACAAATTAAAAAAGGTACTGGTGGACTAATGTGGCAAAAGAAAGCAATATGAAACCTAGTAAACGCGGTTTCAAAACAGGAACTAGAGCAACACATATTCGAAATTTCTCATCAGGAAAATGTGATTCGTTAAAGTGCATTAAACTAAAAAAAAGCTTCTTACCGTCCAAACGTTGATTCAATACAGTTTCGTACTCATATCTCAAACGAACTTCTTGTTGTTTCAGGAGTCTTTCGCAAATCATTTGTACCTGAACAAAAATCTAATAAGCTTTGAACATCTGAAGTGCGAATGAAGTGCCATAAACCTAATGTACCGATATAAATTTCAAAACACCCCAGATACGATAACTATAATGAAGTAAAGCAATCAGTAAATTAAACAGGAAAGCAGTACAGTACAGCCGTAAGTAAACAGTACCTGTCTTAACGAAAACTGTGGCTTTTCATACAAGCTTACAAAAGCAGCCCCTTTCTGTGCCTTTGCCGCAGTAGACGACGAATTCTCTCCCTCTGACTCACTTCCAGACTAAAATGAAAGATAAGCAATGACACCTTTTACTATCTGCATCCTGAGGCGCACAATAACGACCAAACTGAAGTTTCAAAACCCCTCAAGAAAATACCACCCCTATCTTCACTACTTTGAACCGTGATATTGTTCACCCCACACGGTCACAGCAACTGATTCTGCAGAAAGTGCCACCTAGATAGTAAGCTCTCTGGCTTCCATTACATACATATTCAAAAGCTATTAGAATATTTACAAAAAGCTCTAATCCTCCTGTAATCGGGAGTGTCAAAAACCTTGGGGGTCTTTCCTACACAATAATTTTATGCCCTTTACTGAAGCATTGTGCCTACGAAAGAAGCTTTCGTAGTAACCACACTACAGAAACGATCCTATAACAAGAAAATATAATATTAATTTCATATTCTGGCTCCACCAACCACCTGTCTAACGGTCCAATACTTCTGACGAGGCCCATAACAAACAAAAAGTTTTTTAACAGAAAAATTAAAAAATTTTACACAGAAAAATAAAAAGGGAGCAAAACAAGGAAGATAAATGGGAAAAAAAATAACATTAGCATTTGGTGACGTTGGAGGAGCTCGATACGTCTGTTTCGACACTACAGGATACATAGGATCCAATGCACTGCCAGTGCTCACATTTTTATCTTCTAAAACACCAGAGCTCTGCTTGTAACGAGGAAGTAAATTCCGCCTCTTCAAATACCGTATCTAAAAAATTAGTAGTTAACTACAGACTTCCAGCCTCGCAGAAGAGAATATAGACAAGTTACAAATTTGAACTACGAAAAAAATTATAATTGGAAAAACTCAGTAGCAGTCTACCTCTGCTCTTAGATAAGATTCCAGCTGAGCAGGAGACAGCTGTGTCCTTCCTGCAATAGATGAAAAAGGAGATGTGTCGTTTTCTTCGCGATCCTGAAAGTCCTAAGTAGCAGAGTGAGGAAGGAAGAAAAGCGGTAACACGAAAAAATTCACTATAACTACTGCGTCTACTTCCAGATCATCAATAAATGAAAAATATTATGTCATTATAACAAAAAAAGACCTTTACAAGTCAGCAAAAAATGTATGGAAGGTGAAACAAAAAGCAAAAACATTAATCAATGAAAACAAGTCCCTGAAAAGTAAAATTCACTTAAGTTACTCCACCGCGACTTCTGAAAAAAAATTCAATCATGAGAAAACTCATTAGAAAACTCACCTTACTGTCACGAAGCTGGAGCAATGCTGAGGACCCAATAGCGGAAGAAAGTGATGCAGCTACAGTTCCAAACTGCGGTCGAAATGGAGAGCAATGTGAAACTGTAGTACGCGCACGTTTTACATCAACAGCACTTTCGTTTAAATAGTCATCACATTCGTAAGGCCTTTTCAAAGCCAAACCACATGCCATTGTGAGCCACTAAAATTTTACATTATAGAAATTGCGAGAAACAAGACCACAAAAATGTTCACAATAATTTTACAGACCAATTCTAGACCATTCTAATGGTAAAGCACAAGTTCTTTTAACTACAAGAACTGTCTAAGTAAAACAAGCACAATGTAACAAAAAAAAAACTGCCCAGGAAGACAATATTTATTTCATCTTCTTAACAACGAAAACTAGTCATAAAGCTAAAATTTGATATACACCCTCATAAGATTAACAAATCCTCACAATTTCACCAAAAAGAGAGCTTAAAATAAAACTTCGAAATAGCCTGAAATTGCTGACAAATTAACGCGACAGATAAAATTTTAATTGATATCCAGTTATTTTCTGTCACTTCCTGGGGTAAGACGCAATGGCAACAGTCTCGCAATTTCCCCACAAACGGTTTGAAAAAAAAGAAAAAGGAAGAAGATACCATGCAAGAATTATAATCGACAAAACCTTTTCACCCTCTTCCCTTCCCAACACTGAGTAGAAGTGTTTGTGAAGACAAAGGAAAGAAACCCTGAAAATGCTTTACAAATATGTTTGATGATAGAGATTTTCATGAAAATAGAAAATCTTGAGACAAAACTCCAAGGGCAACCAACAGTCAGACTTCAAAGGTAACCTCTGCAATAATAATGGTAATAATGATAAGAAAAAAACGAAAACAAAACAAATAAAAAAAGAACCACTTCACAAATGCAACAACAACGCAACGCAACACAGCTTTCCTATCTATAAATATAAACCGCTGCAAAATTGGCATTTCGATGCTTCACTGAGGAACGCGCAAAATTGAAAAGCCCATCAGTACACGACGCGTTCGCCCTGCATTGTACACAGAATTCTGTGGCCGCTCACTTA